GCCTGCCACTGTGATACCTGACTGCCTGCCACTGTGCTGCCTGACTGCCTGCCTGCCACTGTGATACCTGCCTGCCTGCCTGCCACTGTGATACCTGCCTGCCTGCCTGCCACTGTGATACCTGCCTGCCTGCCTGCCACTGTGATACCTGCCTGCCTGCCTGCCACTGTGATACCTGACTGCCTGCCTGCCACTGTGCTGCCTGACTGCCTGCCTGCCTGCCACTGTGATACCTGCCTGCCTGCCACTGTGTTACCCCTGCCTGCCTGCCTGCCACTGTGATACCTGCCTGCCTGCCTGCCACTGTGATACCTGCCTGCCTGCCACTGTGATACCTGACTGCCTGCCTGCCACTGTGATACCTGCCTGCCTGCCACTGTGATACCTGACTGCCTGCCTGCCACTGTGATACCTGCCTGCCTGCCTGCCACTGTGATACCTGACTGCCTGCCTGCCACTGTGATACCTGCCTGCCTGCCTGCCACTGTGATACCTGACTGCCTGCCTGCCACTGTGTTACCTGACTGCCTAGCTGCCACTGTGTTACCTGACTGCCTGCCTGCCACTGTGTTACCTGACTGCCTGCCTGCCACTGTGATACCTGCCTGCCTGCCTGCCACTGTGATACCTGACTGCCTACCTGCCACTGTGATACCTGCCTGCCTGCCTGCCTGCCTGCCACTGTGATACCTGACTGCCTGCCACTGTGCTGCCTGACTGCCTGCCTGCCACTGTGATACCTGCCTGCCTGCCTGCCACTGTGATACCTGCCTGCCTGCCTGCCACTGTGATACCTGCCTGCCTGCCTGCCACTGTGATACCTGCCTGCCTGCCTGCCACTGTGATACCTGACTGCCTGCCTGCCACTGTGCTGCCTGACTGCCTGCCTGCCTGCCACTGTGATACCTGACTGCCTGCCTGCCACTGTGTTACCCCTGCCTGCCTGCCTGCCACTGTGATACCTGCCTGCCTGCCTGCCACTGTGATACCTGCCTGCCTGCCACTGTGATACCTGCCTGCCTGCCACTGTGATACCTGCCTGCCTGCCACTGTGATACCTGCCTGCCTGCCTGCCACTGTGATACCTGCCTGCCTGCCACTGTGCTGCCTGACTGCCTGCCTGCCTGCCACTGTGATACCTGCCTGCCTGCCACTGTGATACCTGCCTGCCTGCCACTGTGATACCTGACTGCCTGCCTGCCTGCCTGCTACTGTACTACCTGCCACCATGCTGCCTGCCATGAAGGTCAGAGACTAGCCCTCAGAAACTAAGCAAGCACCTAATTTTATGCATTCTTCTGTAAGTTGCCTTGGTCATGGTGTCTCCTCAAAGCAATAGAACAGTGACTAAGAGTCTCAGCCTCATGTTGGCTGGACAGACTGACCAGCTGCCTTCAGGGATGGACACTATTTCTTCAAGCTGTGCCCCCACCCCTCAGGAGAGGGGACAGGGATATACTTATTAGGCCATACTTGGTCCTCTTGTCTTCACTGGAACCACCTGCTGACAGCCTAGACACTGCCAGGGGCTCAGTCCGGTTTTTCTTGCAGGGTGTCTAAACACAGAGGAAGAGCTTCTCAGGCACTTTGCTCTACTGTGGGGAGGAGCTAGGGGCAGGATCCTAGATGTTCAGGTCTTTAGCCTGTGCCCCAAAGTCAAAGATGCTCATCTGGGCCACCGAGATGGTTCACTGGGGAAAGAGGCTGCCAAGCCTGATAACCTGAGTTATACCTGCAGAGCTCCCGTGATGGAAGGAGAGACAGATTAAGCAGGCTGTCTTCTGACCCCACTCTGTGCATCGCTGCCATGAAATAAACGACAAAAACTTTAAAGGTGATTGTCTGCCTTCAGAACCTATGTTTTGCTTGTGTGGGGGTGGGGTTTAACAAGGTATAACAGAACCGGCAGCCAGTGGAGACACCTCCTACAGACCTGGGCTCCTGCACCAGGGGCCAGCGGGGAACCAAGTGTCCTGACCCAGACAACACAATGCCAGCTCCTGGGGACACCACATTTGTTCTAAGGGACTCCCTGCTTGCTTCAGGCCCAACACTGGATGCAGGCCACGATGGAGGTCTGTGTCACCGAAGTGACACTGCAATCAGGGTTAGAAGAGGCAACACCACCTGCTCCCAGGAAACTCACTGACTGTTGTGGAGGACAGCCCTGTCCTTCAGAATGTGGGGGGCAGTGGCGACACCCTAAACACCATGACATGGCAATGCCCTAAACACACGGATGGCAGATCCTCAGTGACAGATGCTGTGCCACTCCCACTCATGGTGACCCTCACTATGCTTCCACACCCCACTCCCACTCGTGGTGACCCTCACTATGCTTCCGCACCCCACTCCCACTCGTGGTGACCCTCACTATGCTTCCGCACCCCACTCCCACTCGTGGTGACCCTCACTATGCTTCCACACCCCATTCCCACTCGTGGTGACCCTTACTATGCTTCCACACCCCACTCCCACTCGTGGTGACCCTTACTATGCTTCCACACCCCACTCCCACTCGTGGTGACCCTTACTATGCTTCCACACCCCACTCCCACTTGCTATTCTCCCACCTTTCTGCAACTTTAACATAATTCAGCCACAACTACAAGCCTGTCTTCTCACCGAGACTCACAGTGAGAAACAAAACAAGATGGCATCCCTCAGCTGCTAACCAGGACAGGCAGACTGCCTCCTGCCTGTGCCCCATGGAAAGGGAGGATATAGTGATGGGCAGTGGTGATGGTGATGCTGCCAGCTCTGCAGGCTCCAAACCACACAGTCTCAGCAGAGCCCCCAAACCCCGCAGTCTCAGCAGAGCCCCCCAAACCCCATGGTCTCAGCAGAGCCCCCCAAACCCCATGGTCTCAGCAGAGCCCCACAAACCACACAGTCTCAGCAGAGCCCCCAAACCACACAGTCTCAGCAGAGCCCCCAAATCCCGCAATCTCAGCAGAGCCCCCCAAACCCCAGTCTCAACAGAGCCCCCAAACCACACAGTCTCAGCAGAGCCCCCAAACCCCGCAGTCTCAACAGAGTCCCCAAACCACACAGTCTCAGCAGAGCCCCCAAACCCCGCAGTCTCAGCAGAGCCCCCCAAACCCCAGTCTCAACATAGCCCCCAAACCACACAGTCTCAGCAGAGCACCCCAAACCCCAGTCTCAACAGAGCCCCCAAACCCCACAGTCTCAGCAGAGCCCCCAAACCACACAGTCTCAACAGAGCCCCCAAATCCAACAGTCTCAGCACAGTCCCCCAAACCCAACAGTCTCAGCAGAGTCCCCAAACCCCATGGTCTCAGCAGAGCCCCCAAACCCAACAGTCTCAGCAGAGCCCCCAAACCCCACGGTCTCAGCAGAGCCCCGTTAAGCATGGCTGGTATTTCCTTTACTGCCCCACCTGACAGAAGAGGAAACAGGCCCAGAGAAGTCGATGAGAAGAGATGGGATCAGGCCCACAAGCTCCTTCCAGAGCTGTCCTCACTATCCAGTGCTATGTCTTGGGGGAAGCCACTCCTCAATTCAGTACTGAGGTGAAGGACACACATCATAAGAACATGCCTGCCCTTGTGCCAGCCCTCAGAGTAGAGGGAGAACCCAGACATTTGGTGTGGCTATGACATGCCCCAGCCTGACAACAGGGTCTTATCTACTCACTGCATCCAGGATGCAGCCCAGCTCTATGTCCTCACCAGCTCGGACAGTCCCCTTCAAGGGCTTCCAGCCGCAGGACAAGACTAGGCTTCAATCTTGCCTCATACAAAGGAGGAAGGTGGTTACTTGGTCACTCAGGGTGACAATAAAATAGCCCCAAATACAAGGACTGTGCCCATGTGAGCGCTTAAGAAAAAGACGGTACTGGCAAGGCCCACTGGCAAGGGCAGGGGTGCTCAGGAGGGGGAAGTTTGGATGCCCCTTTCTGTAGCACCAACCCCAGCACTGGGTACCTGTTGCCACCAGAGTTTCCACCTGTGCACACAGCACTGGCTGATACCCTGAGGCTGGTTCTCCCGCTACCCCTGCACAGGAGGGAAGGTGGCCTGCCTGAGTCAGGCAGTCAGGCTGCTCCAAATCTGTCTATATGACTTTGGTCTATCTTGCTCTCCAGTGCAGCTCTCAAAACCTCCCCTGGGTACCCACAGACTCCACCCCATGGGGAGGCCCACCCTATGCTGGAGCCCTAGCAAAGGCTGTTTAAAGGGCAGATGTGAAATTCTATCTACACCTAGATTTCCAGCATCATGGCCAGCCATTCCTCCTGTTGCCAGCCAGCTAGCAAACAAAACTATAGGTGACAAACATGTTTTCATGATTTACTGAGAATCAAAGACAAAGGGGGAGATTTTCGTCTTGTTCTTGCTCTGATGGTTTAGGAATTCGTTGTACTGCACTGATTCAATTTTCCTTGATTCCAGCCATCTTTCAATAATGCAGTCTGCTTCTGCTGGCTGGGTACACACAAGAAAACCCCAAGGAACCAAGGATATTGAAATGGTTCTGCCATTTCCATCTGTGAGACAAATGTTCCTCTCTGAGGAGCTCTGGTGGCAGCACGTGACCACGGCAGTCTTCTCTACACGAGGATGTGCACACTGACGCTGGCCAAAAACGGGCAACCCCAGCAGGCCTGGCCTTCTGTGGAGCCCTACTGTTTCGGGTCTGTCTCCTTGGAACTTTCCTTTGGACCCTGATCCTGGTGTCTTTCTTATGATGCCCAGATGCCATCAAACCAGCCGGGAAGGAGGGACCTGGCTAAGTATGAGGGGCCTAGGACATTCCTCTGGATCAAGAGTTGGTTGAATCTGAGATGGCCCTGGTGGCAAATGAGGAGAGACAGGACAAGGCACTGGTCATGGCCTCTGGCAAGCGATAGGTACTCTCAAAATGACTGACTGGGTTTCTCCTCAGGAGGGCTCTTGCACCCACCTTTTCTGGAACCAAGCCCTGATGGAGGAACAAGGACCCTAGAGTGAGCAGTGTCGCAAGCCCAGCGTACTTACCTCCTTTTCAATTTCTGCCAGGGACTTGATGGTGATTCCCAAGAGATCAAACGGCTGCATCTGAAAATACAGACCAAGTCACCCTTTTGATGGCTGGAGAAAGCCCCTTGCTCTCATGACAACTGTGATGGACAAGCCGCCCTAGCATCTTCAGCCCCACCACAGGAATGGACATTGTGACGCTCAGCCTACAGGTCCAGGCAGAAACCATAAGCACATCGTGAGCTGAACCTTCCGAACCACAAGACAACTTCGCCACATATCCACAGCACTGGGGGGGGGGGGGGGGTAAGGGGAGGGGCCATGGCCTCCCAGAAGGCGTGCCTATGGTCAATTAGCTTATCTTTTTTTTCTGACACCAAAGGAGAAAGTGAGTGATTTATGCTTTTGTGATGGGATTCGGGGCTGGACGTGTCTGAAGCAGTTACCAGAGGCCACACTGCCTGGTGTTTCTACAGAGTGGCGGGAGTTCCAAGGGTCTGCAGTATCTAGGGGAGGACCAGGTCTTTGATAGAGACAGAAGAAGGAAATGACCACCATCAGCTAATGCTTTGCAAGATCAGGGTGGCGAAAGCGAGAGGCTGCACTTTAACAGGGCTCTGCAATTCTGTGGACAGTGGAACATTTCTTGGCAAAAACACAGACTAGGAAAGTCAGCGCAGGTGAGCAGGCTGGACTGTGTGAGCCTCCCCGTGTGGGCTGCTGCCAGTGCAGAATCCAGGTACACTGTTTCCAGGAACACTGGTTCTTGGTTTTCTGGGAGCAGCAGAAGGCTAGCAGCCTCTTGCAGCCTCGCCTGCAGGTAGAGTCTGAGATCCACACAGAAGCCAGGACTTGTCTGTTTAGACCCAGAGTCCTGCAGTGGGCTGGGGTTAGCACCTGCACTGGGCTACCTGCATGTCCTGCACTGCGAGAGGCCAGTGGTTAGCTCCTGAGTCCAAGGCTCTGGATCCCAACTGGCTGCCTTGTGGTGCAGGAAGGATTAATCTTCTCTATTTGTTTATTCAGCAGATTTTTAGGATGCGAGTGTGGACACATATGTGGAGGTCAGAGGGCAACTTTGAGGAGTCGGTTCTCTTTCCGTTTCTGCTCCCCTTTGTACTCCAGGCCAGCTGGCTCATGACTTCCATCTCTTAGGGGTGCTAGGATTACACATGCACGTCACCGTATCTGGCTTTTTTAATGTGGGTTCTTGGGATCGAACTCCAGTGATTGGACTTTTGCCGCAAGCCCTTTTACCTGCTGAGGCATCTGGATACCCCCCCCCCCATACTTACTTTGAAGGCCACATTTAAAAGCCTGTTAAAAGTGGCATGGGTGGGCCCTTTTGGTCTGGATGCAGGGGGATTAAACAGAGAAGTGCTTGGAAGGGCTTAACACAGGGCTTGGCTTGCATCTGTGGCCCTGAGCACTTGCTGAATTGGCACTAGCACATTATGAGGGCAAACTTGGGATAGGTCCACCAAATTAGACCCCGAGCTCCTGGGGCTGCTCTTCCAGTAGCCACAAAACAGTTTGGCTCTGCTGAAGATGCCAGCCTTCATGTTGTGAGGACGGGGCCGCCTGCCCGCCTGGCCCAGGAGCCAGCAGAGGTCCAGCTGTTGCATCATTAGGCCCTAACTAGTCCACTAAACTTTCCCGACTGGAGCTGGTGAGCAGGGCAGAGCTGCCTCTCCCAGGGAGCATGCGGGAGAGGTGCCAGTGTCTCCATGGCAACGCAGCCAAGTGGAGTCTGCGGAAGTTCCTCAGGCTCGCCATGTCACGTCAGGAGCATTTTTCACGATTAAGCTGCTTACCAGAAGGGCTCAGAGGAGGCCTATTATATTTCATAAAAATGGAAACGACAGAGCAGGTCGGATCGCCAGGCGGGTGGTTTTAAACTGGGTCCAAGAAAAACACTTGAGGGGTCTTTCGATGGGCCAAACCAGGGCCTTGGTGCTTAGTGACGCCTCAAAGCAATCTTCTACAGGAAGAATAAAAGCCAGACACAAGTTTACTGACCCAGCGTGGCCCAGGCTTGCGCAGCTGAGTGAGAGCAGAGGCTGTCCTGAGGACCAGGCACTATCAGAGGGGTGTCTCCAGGAGGGAATGGAACCAGTACAGGGTCCTGGCTGTGGCCTCTCATGGTCTAGATACTGGCCTCTGCTCTTGATTGGCTTGCCTAGTTCCTCTGTCATTCAAGAAGGCTCAGGGCTCAACCTAAACAGACCACAGCCAGAGGCACCTGACACTGCTCCACGGCACAGCGTGTAGGACATACAGAATGCAGCAATGATAGTGGGGAACCAGGCCAACTTCATCACCGGGAAGTGAAAAAACAAGGCCATGTGGGGTGGAGCAGCACTAGGAAGGAAGAGGCAGGTGGGTCTGAGTTTGTGACAGTCTGGTCGATGAAGTGAGTTTCAGGCCAGCCAGGGCTGTATGTCTCAAAAACAAACAAACAAACAGCACGTTAAGGCTGGTTGTGGTAGTGCATGTTTTAATCTTAGCACTCAGGAGGCAGAGGCAGGTGCTCTCTGTAAGTGCGAGGCCAGCTGGTGTATAGAGCGAGTTCTGAGGCAGTCAAGACTGCACAGCGAGAGCCAGTCTCAAACAAGAGCTAGACGAGGAAGCCGAACTTGGGAAACATTGCGACCTGTGAGTCAAATGCAAAAGCGTGGCCGTACACACTCATCTGCTGAGTGTCTCTAGGATCCTGGCCTCTGGCTGCCCTTTTCTTCCACTTCTCAGGCATCTGCTAGGTGTAGGCCCCAGCTGGAGGGCCCAAGACGAGCAGAACGCACGCCAGCTCTCACATGTTGTGCCTTCTGGTTTTAGGGTTCAGCACACAGGCAGAGATGCTTGCCCAGGCCCAGGGGTTCCAGGGCGCTAAGACACTGAGGGACTTCAGGTTAAGGTGGGGGGAGGAGCATGCATAAAACTTACACTTTCTGGAATGCAGGAAAACTTCTCTGAAATCATAAACGGCACACCATCCATTGCTGCAAGAGAGGAAAGAGAGGAACACATTGAAGACACGACTGCTGTCCAGCAACCTAGGATGTCGATACAGAGAGGACCAATCACTCCCTGGCTGGAGGCAGATGCTGCCCAGCTCAAGTGAGTGAGAGCTGCTGAGTGGTCCGCTGCTCTCCGTTCCCAGGGAACGCACCCTGCCCAGGGATACAGACGCCTTGTGTGGCCCCTCTGAGTGTAGTCGGTGCAGAGAGGGTGGGGGAGTAGTACAGGGCTGGTATGGAAGCCTCTTCTTACCCAGGGCTCTGGCCTATGTCATAAGTAGTTGGAGCCACTAAGGGCCTGACAGCAGGAAGAAAGTGATGTATGGCTGTGAGGGGGCAGAGGTACATTCTGGGAGGAAGCTGGCAGTAGCATGTCCACTGTACATTCTGTAGGCCGACCTGTCTCTCTTTGGTGGTGTTGGGTATTCATCAGCATCTCCATGGAAAGAAAGTTTGGTGGTCAGGATGATTGTGCTTGAGCCCTGGGCTGGACTTGCCATGAAGTCACATGAAAAAGAAGCTTGGCTAATGGCTGTGAGGTGTGCTCTGTGTCTACAGTGAAGCAGGCCAGGAACTTGCTCAGGGCCTGGCAGAGTGGGCACAGTGTTTGTGGGGAAGGGAGAACACATGGTTACTGATTCCTTGCCGCAGCTTCGGGGCTGAGTCAAGACTGAAGGGTGTGGAATGAGCAGCCTGTGAATGAGGAATGCAGGGACCTGGAAACTCAGTTTCTTTCTGTACCATAGCTCCTGCAATCTACTTGTATCTAGGTCTCCACCCCTAAACTGGTGGCAGTCTTGCCACAGAGGAGCGTGTGATGCAGGGCCCTCACAGTGAGACCCATGCACAGAGAGCTGGGCTGCTGACTGAGATGGTGCCCTGCAGAAGCAGGACAGAGCTGAGGCAAAGTTCAGCCTATACATCTGGCCCTTAGTGTAGGAACCTGCAGCCTGCAGCGAGAGGGTGGTTTGTGGCAGACCATGGATTTAGAATGGACACTGGGCCTCCCCTCTGCCCATTTCCTAAAATGAAGACTTCCTTGGCATTCAAATGCTGGGACCACCTTCCAGGGCTGGGGCCAAAGAGAAGCAGGAACGGAAAGGAGAGTGCAGGAGGAGGGAACGGAATCCCTTCCGGTGTCTGATCTGTAAGACGTGCCGCACAGCGAGTGGTTAGCTGTGGCCATAATACTGAGGGGAGGGAGGGAATGAAAAGCGGACTTGCCTGCACTGGGAGCCCCCTTCTGCAGGGCCATCTCCCACTGCAGCTGGGCCCTACAACCCGGAAGAGAAGGGCTGAATGCTGGCATGGTGCATGAGACAGCACCGGCAGAGCAAGGAGGGACAAAATCCCAAGTGATTCCCACACCCACTGCAAATGCCCCACTACCACCTGTGAGCCTGTCACAGCAGACACAGTGCCGTGAAGGAGGTTTCTTTGGAAAGCCACAAGCTTCTTAGGGATGGAGGCAAGCCCCATCGACACCCTGAAAGGCCACACTGGCTCCTGCCGCTGACCACCCAACATAAACTTTAAGCTCCCGTTCACCCCACACAGCTCTTGCATGCTCTGCCCTCGAATACTTGCTGGGTCCAGGGCCCTCAGATCACTTCTGATGCTTTTGAGATGACAAAACAGAGGCTCCAGAGGTGGAGCCGACACCAAGGTCACACAGGCCAGAAGCAGGAACCTGGAAGCCCTGGCTTACGATGCTTGGACACAGGTAACCATCGTATTTTACTTCTCACGGAAAAGGGTGCATGTGCACAGCACTGTTCCCGCCACCGTGCAGGGGCTAACAAGGTTCCTCACCCACTTCTACAGTGATGTCCTCCCCTGGAGCCTACTAGACGGCAGCAGAAGAAGAGCATCTCACACTGTGAGAAGTATGAGGCCACATGATGATGTGGCCACCAGGATGGTGGTGGCAGTTACACCCCTGCCTATACTGGCAACAGAGATGGAAGCCCCTTGTGCTCAGTCCTGACTGCAAGGAGCCATTTGGTAAAGAGACTGAGGTGACATTTGGTAAAGGGGACTCACAATGGGAGGCTGGGCAGTCAGCCGCTCTTCTCATTCACTAGAGAACAGATCTTAGCCCATCTGGTAGAACCAGCAGGACAGAGCTCAAGATGAACCGCCCAGATAGGGCTCACAGCACACAGGACACACCTAAGCAGACGTGACCTCCAGGTCATACTTAACAGACCAAATTGCATTTAAAGAATCTAGTGTGTGTGGTTGAGGGCAAGGCACTGGAGAGATGGCTCAGGACTTAGAATCTTGCAGAGGACACTGGGTTCTATGCCCAGCACCTACATGGCAGCTCACAGCCATCTGTGACTCCAGTTCCAGAGGGATCTTACACCTTCTTCTGGCCTCCATGAGCACTGTATGTGGCGCAGACAGGCATGCATGCATGCATATTCATATACAGTATGGCTGGCTCAGTGGGTAAAGGTGCTTGCTGCACGAGATTGAGTTTGAGCCCTGGGATCACACAAAGGTAGAAGGAGGGAATCAGCACCATGAAGTTGTCATCTGGCTTCCACGAATGGCACCCACATCCCCCTTCCACATGACACAGCCTAGGTACTGAGAGGCAGGTAAACCACCTGCTCTGAAGGGGGTCAGGACATCACCTGCTAGCTAAGAAGAAACATGGTTGTTTTTTTTAAGTGAAATATGGCTGATAGGGACCTAGTAGGAATGCTTGTTAATTAGCTAAGAGTAGACTCTGATGAAGGGCGCAGAACGCTGACATTTGGGCGACATCAGAGCACGGACTTTATCCCCCTTATAGTTTAGTGCAGCTATGCAGGGCAAAGGGAAGACACGCACAGTAGCAACAGTAGCAACAGTGTGGCCTTAGCTATGCAGGAAGAAGGGAAGACAAGCACAGTAGTAACAGTAACAACAGTAACAACAGTGTGGCCTTAGCTATGCCCGGCAAAGGGAAGACACGCACAGTAGCTAGCCACAGTAACAAAGGGCTCTGAGTTGGCTGGACACATCAATGTGATTTGCTCACTGAACATGGAAGGTGCCCTTCTCGAGGCCATAGTGGCACAGCATGGTCACAGGATCCAGGCACCACTTGGTCTGCTCTGAGCTTCCATGATATTCTCACATGATCATCCTGAGAGCCTTGAAGAGAGGGAGGGCACTGTGGGACTCTTAGCTAACTCCATATGGAAATGGAGAGGCAGACTCAGGCCCGCTACCCCAAGGAGGTGGGACTCTGCCTAGCATCCCACACTGCATCTGACACATGGGAGCAGGCAGAGTGGGGCTGGATAAGAGAGGCTTGAAGAGGGCACAAGCCCCTGTCTGCTAGGAAGCCACAGCCGCAGGGAGAAGGGCTGGCTTGACCAATTACAGTTCAGGGGCCTCACTCTCCTCTTGGAAGATACACTGCACAGAAGGAACAGACAGAGCCACTGATACTGCGGGAGCTGGGTAGGGTCTGTGTGCTGCAGAGTTTAGCACTAGGATCCTGGGAAGCCCCTTCTGATTCAACAGCTTCCATTCCTAGGAGCCTTATCTGGACAGCCTTCCATATTTGAAAATACTCAGAGGTTTGGCAAACATAATCCTTAAAATGATGGCACACATTTTTCATGTGATCCCCAAGACTGGCCATAAATCATCTCTGTCCCCCCTCTCCCAGGGAGCCCTATCCTCCTCCTTCCTCTCTCCTTCCCTAGCCAGGGCTGGTGTGTTTTCACCCTGACTGTTCAAGACTGGATGCATGTCCTAGCTGCCAGCCTCCCACTGACCTACTCAGGGCCACACATCACTGGGGGAGACAGTTCACAGGGTCTCCGTGCCCTGACAACCAGCAAGGATTAGGGCAGGGCTTCTCCCTGATCCCCCTGACCTGTGTGCATAGACATGTCACAGAATCAGGAATGACACCTGAGCAGGTTCTGGTCCTTTGTCCAGCTGGGTTCCCAGGGTGACATTACAGAGGCTCCTCTAAGCCTGGGAGGTAATGCGAGAGGAAAAGTGAAAGCCCGTGGTCCTCCCAAGGTCTCTTCTGCAAAGACAAGGAAGGGCCCTTGTTCCTTTCCTCGTTCACAGGGGTGAACCATCAACCTTCCCACCTGCAGCCTCTTCCGTAAGTCACGCACCCAGGAGTTCCAGGCTGTGACAGGCTCCCGGCATGGCCTGTGGCAGAAAGAGGGCTATGTCCATGCAGGGACACCACACCTTTGAGCCTGTCTGGAAAATGGGCCTCACGCTCCTTGCCAACAGCCACATCTGACAACAGCAGTCAGGGGTCTGACGTGGGCAGAGCGTCCTGGACTGTGGCTCCCAATCTCTGACTGGAAGCGGTGTCCCTTTAGTGTCAGGCCACCGCTTTCTTCTTTTTACTTAAAAAAAAATCTGGTGGCAGTTTTAACAAATGCTGCTCCATGGATCGGAGCAACACGGAACAGATGAAAGTGAGGATGTACCGCGGCTCCGTAGCGCAATTAGCATTCTCCTAAACAAACGAGCTTCAACAGAGCTGTAATTAAGCAGGCCTGTAATTAAGTATATGCCCTTTATCATAACGATCATGCTTAAAAATGGCACGAAGCACGGAACTGTGTTATTAATGCTGTAATCCCAGACTGAAGCACGAGTACATAGAAATCTGCATGTCAGGCCTGTCACTGCGCCTGTTTGTAAAATACATTAAAGAAAGGAGCCCCAAACAATGAGCTCGTTCAACTGTTCTTTTTACAACCAGGCAGCACAAGTCAAGAGGACTGTGAATGCTTACAGATGCCGAGGTTTAAACAAATAAAGCTGTAATCTGCTGCGCCCCCACCCCCGCTGGAACAACGCAGCCAAGCTGGTGGCCCAGAGTCTAGAGCTGTTTTTTCTCCTCTTTAGCTGACCCAGACCCTGGCTCGCTGCTCTCAGGGAAGCAGTCCAATTTGCATGCTGCATTTGGTTGGGCATCAGATTGGATTTCTGCTCCCACAGATTAT